GAGTCTTACGTTTCCCCGATCACAGCGGTGCTTGGAAGGGGGCACCGATGACTCTTGCCCTGGACACAGCGCGTGCACAGCGCAAAATGCGTGCTGCTAGCACGGCAAATGGCTGAGAAGATGGGGGGTGGCTGAGGAGGTCGGGCAGCGCTGCTGCTAACCCTTCTCTCCCGCCTGTGCTGCACTGTGTATGCAACCATCTCGCCAGGAACTGAATTCCGACCGATCTCCACGTGATGCTCGATCGGTGGGGGGACCGGCCCAGCGGGGTTGGGAGTCGACGCGTTTCCCCCCTGAGCCCGCGGTCGGCAGCCGCTGCTTCGCGTGTCGCGGCGGCGGCCCCAGCGACCCGCCATGCCCTGCGAGCGGCCAGCGCGCCGTCCCGCTCCGCGGGGCGGGAGGTTCGGACAAATCTCGGGGCTCGGGACGTCGACGTCTGGGGACCCCGGGGGCTCGGACGTGGAGAGCGTGTCGCACCGAAGCGTGGTGGGCCAGAGCCGGCGGCGCGACACGCTAAGCCGAAGCTCCCCGCACCACACTACATATATATATATATATATATATATATATATGTATATGTGTATATATATTATATTATATATATATAATATATATATATATATATATATATATATATATATATATATATATACATAACGGCATATAACGGCGCACCGGGTCCGGGGGCCCGGGGCCGGGACCCCGACCACAAATGTGGGCCCCGGGGGGCCCGGAGGCTCGTCGGACCGCCGGACGCCGTCCAAGATCGTTCGCAGGCGGCTTCGGAACGCGCTCCGATGGCTCCAGATGCCTTCCAAGACGCCTGTCATGACACCAAGAAGGTCCCAGAAGCCTCCAAGACGCTCCGAGAGGCAGCCCAAGAGAGGCCCAAGAAGCAAAAATCGTGCCATTCCTATGGGAAAACGTATATTTTTCGCATGTTCGCCTCTTGGGCTTTCACCGCGTCCAAGACGGCCCAAGAGGCGCCCAAGACGGTCTACGAGGCCTCCGGGAGCGCTCCAAGGCTGCGCACGAGTGGCCCAGGACGGCCCCAAGACGGCCGAAGAGAGCCCCAAGACGAGTTCGAGAGGGGTCCCAGACGGAGAAAGCCAACCTCGAATTCCGAGCTTCCGGCCCAAGAGGCTCCAGGAGGCGCCAAAATGCCGCCAAGAGGCGCCAAAAGGCTCCCAAAAGCACCCCAAGACGTTCCGAGAGGCACCCCAAGAGAGGTCCAAGAAACAAAAATCGTGCCATTCCTATGGGAAAACGTATATTTTTCGCATGTTCGCATCTTGGGCTTTCACCGCGTCCAAGACGGCCCAAGAGGCCTCCAAGACGGCCTAGGAGGCCTCTGGGAGCGCTCCAAGGCTGCGCACGAGTGGCTCAGGACGGCCCCAAGACGGCCCAAGAGAACCCCAAGACGACTTCGAGAGGGGTCCCAGAAGGAGAAAGCCACTCTCGAATTCCGAGCTTCCGGCCCAACATATCCCAGGAGGCGCCAAAACGCCGCCCAGAGGCGCCAAAAGGCTTCCAAAATCAGCCCAAGACGTTCCGAGAGGCACCCCAAGAGAGGTCCAAGAAACAAAAATCGTGCCATTCCTATGGGAAAACGTATATTTTTCGCATGTTCGCATCTTGGGCTTTCACCGCGTCCAAGACGGCCCAAGAGGCCTCCAAGACCGCCCCAAGACGGCCCAAGAAGCTTCCAAGAGGGCCCCAGGACAGCCCAAGAGGGCCCCAAGACGGCCCAAGAGGCGCCCAAGATGGCCCAAGAGGGCCCCAAGACGGGCCCAAGAGGGGGCCCAGAGGGGGACCACGAACCGCAAGCTCGAGCCTTCCGCCCCAAGAGGCCGCCAGGAGGCCCCAAGGAGGCCCCTCAAGAGGCCCCAGGAGACCCCCAAGAGGCCCAAAGGAGGCCCCGAGAAGCCCCAAATCGGCCCCCAAAGTGCTTCGAACCTGCTTCCAGGAGGCCCCCGACAGGTTCAGAGGCTCCCGAGAAGCTACGTCAAACTCCCAGCGAGCGGCCGGACGAGGCCCCCCACAACATCACAAGAGGGTTCCAGTATTTGTACCCTTCAGCGCTCTCTGGCCTTCTTCCCCCTGCCCCCTTCCCTGCGACTTTCGTTGACTCAAGCTCGCCTCCTAGCTAGAAGCGCGCCGGGTCCGGGGGCCGGGGCCGGGACCTCGACCACAAATGTGGGCCCCGGGGGGCCCGGAGGCTCGTCGGACCGCCGGACGCCGTCCAAGATCGTTCGCAGGCGGCTTCGGAACGCGCTCCGATGGCTCCAGATGCCTTCCAAGACGCCTGTCATGACACCAAGAAGGTCCCAGAAGCCTCCAAGACGCTCCGAGAGGCAGCCCAAGAGAGGCCCAAGAAGCAAAAATCGTGCCATTCCTATGGGAAAACGTATATTTTTCGCATGTTCGCCTCTTGGGCTTTCACCGCGTCCAAGACGGCCCAAGAGGCGCCCAAGACGGTCTACGAGGCCTCCGGGAGCGCTCCAAGGCTGCGCACGAGTGGCCCAGGACGGCCCCAAGACGGCCGAAGAGAGCCCCAAGACGAGTTCGAGAGGGGTCCCAGACGGAGAAAGCCAACCTCGAATTCCGAGCTTCCGGCCCAAGAGGCTCCAGGAGGCGCCAAAATGCCGCCAAGAGGCGCCAAAAGGCTCCCAAAAGCAGCCCAAGACGTTCCGAGAGGCACCCCAAGAGAGGTCCAAGAAACAAAAATCGTGCCATTCCTATGGGAAAACGTATATTTTTCGCATGTTCGCATCTTGGGCTTTCACCGCGTCCAAGACGGCCCAAGAGGCCTCCAAGACGGCCTAGGAGGCCTCCGGGAGCGCTCCAAGGCTGCGCACGAGTGGCTCAGGACGGCCCCAAGACGGCCCAAGAGAACCCCAAGACGACTTCGAGAGGGGTCCCAGAAGGAGAAAGCCACTCTCGAATTCCAAGCTTCCGGCCCAACATATCCCAGGAGGCGCCAAAACGCCGCCCAGAGGCGCCGAAAGGCTTCCAAAATCAGCCCAAGACGTTCCGAGAGGCACCCCAAGAGAGGTCGGTCCAAGAAACAAAAATCGTGCCTATGGGAAAACGTATATTTTTCGCATGTTCGCATCTTGGGCTTTCACCGCGTCCAAGACGGCCCAAGAGGCCTCCAAGACCGCCCCAAGACGGCCCAAGAAGCTTCCAAGAGGGCCCCAGGACAGCCCAAGGGGGCCCCAAGACGGCCCAAGAGGCGCCCAAGATGGCCCAAGAGGGCCCCAAGACGGGCCCAAGAGGGGGCCCAGAGGGGGGCCACGAACCGCAAGCTCGAGCCTTCCGCCCCAAGAGGCCGCCAGGAGGCCCCAAGGAGGCCCCTCAAGAGGCCCCAGGAGACCCCCAAGAGGCCCAAAGGAGGCCCCGAGAAGCCCCAAATCGGCCCCCAAAATGCTTCGAACCTGCTTCCAGGAGGCCCCCGACAGGTTCAGAGGCTCCCGAGAAGCTACGTCAAACTCCCAGCGAGCGGCCGGACGAGGCCCCCCACAAAATCACAAGAGGGTTCCAGTATTTGTATCCTTCAGCGCTCTCTGGCCTTCTTCCCCCTGCCCCCTTCCCTGCGACTTTCGTTGACTCAAGCTCGCCTCCTAGCTAGAACCTAAGCGCGCGCGAAGCGCGCGCGTTCTAGTATATAGTATATATATATATATATATATATATATATATATATTATATATATATATATATATATATATATATATATCCACTTCTCCCTGTTCCGCCCCCTGCCCCTCCTGTCCCTCCTCCCTCCCAATCCCATCGCTCCGACGCAGCTCTTCGGTCGGCTTTTCCCCGCGGTCTGCGTTCCCTCGGCGCCAGCAGGGCTCGAAGACGGCCCTTGGAGGCCGAGACTGCCGACACGCAGCGTACACGCCCACCGTGTTTTCTATATGGGGCGCCTGGTGGGGTCCCCGGATGCCTCTGGAGGTCCCCGCGCTCTTCCGCAGAAGTGCCTGGGGACCCCCTGCGAAGGGCCTGGAACGTCCACAGGCCTCGATCCTCGATCCTCGATCCTCAATCCTCAAACCTCGATCGTCGACCCTCGACCGTCGACCCTCGGATCTCGAGTCCTCGAATCCTCGATGCTCGAACGTCGATCCTCCATGGATCCAGGATCGATGCTTCGAGGGCTTGGGATTCGACATCCGATGTCTTGACTTTTCCAGCAGGGTGTCCCCAAAAATCCCGACCCGCACGGGGGTCCCCCCAAATCCCGGACCCTTTCCCCATGCACGATTTTTCGCCCCGAGTCCTTGTTTGACGGACCTGGGGCTTAGCTGTTTTTGTACGCAACGCGCGACACGTAGCGTACTGATACAGAGATCAACACGTAGACTGCACACGTAGGTCGGACGCGATACCTTCGCCAAAACGTGGGCCAGTACGCTGAACCAACACGCAACGTGTCAACACGGACATGTTCCACACGGCACGTGTTGCGTCTCAAAACGGGTGCCTCAAGGCCACTGAGGCAGCGGGTTTTGGGCCGTTCTTGGCCTCCGGGGGCCCTCGTCGGGCCTCGGGACCGTCGACAAAACGCACGACGAGACCAAGACGGAACCGCTGGACGTCTGTAGAGGCCTGCTAGATGGGGTCCGAGTAGATGGGGCCGGAGGATCGCGCAGCATCGCGGATGCATCACCGATACATCGACGATGCATCGACAATTCATCGGCGACGTCGGCGATGCGTCAGCGACGTCAGCGTGGAGAACATCGGGCTTCACATCGAGCCGCATCGCCATCGGCGGTGCGGAGCGACCCTCCGACCCCGCCTGCGCCGACCCCATCCAGGAGGCCTGGGGTTTGGGGCCGCCTTTGGCCCCCAGGGGCCCTCGCCGGGCCTCGGGACCGTCGCCAAAACGCACGACGCCGCCAGCACAACATCGTAGGACGTCTGCTGAAGGCCAAGGCTCTGCCCGAGGGCCCAGGGCCGAGGCCCTCGGACTCGTGCGCGGCGGCCGCCTCGGCCGAGGACGCCGCGGCGGAGGGCGCCGGCAGCGCCTGGGCCGAGGGCCCCTGCTGGGCAGGCGGCCGCAGCTGCTTCAGCCTCCGGGGCCGCCCGCCGCCGTGCAAGCACTGGGCCGCCGCCGCCGCCGCGTCGAGGCGGGGATTTGCAGTCAGCCCGTGTCTCAAGGATGCGCGATGAGGGGGTGAGGGGCCGGGAGGCCCATTTCGAAGCTTTTCGAGCGGGGCGCGGCCAGCGAAGGTGGCCAAGGATGGGCCGAGGAGGCAAGGATGACAGGGTAAGCTCGGGAAGGTTGCCCATCCTTGTTTTGCGGGTTGGCTGTGACATAACCAGCGCCTTGAGGATCGATTCTCGAGGACCTCCACGGGCGGTGGACGTTGAGATATTTCTGCCCCCCGGGGGCCCAAATATGTAGCCACATCCACCGCCCGCTGGGTCCTCAGGGCGTCGGCTCCACGGGCGGTGGATACGGACAGATCCCCGCCTCGCGTCCTCCTCCTCCTCCTCCTCCTCCTCCTCCTCCTCCTCCTTTCGCTTGCGCTGTTGTTGGCTCCAGGGTCGAAATCGACGCCCCCCCCCTCCCCAGCGGCCTTCGCCAGTTGGGTGGATTTGATCAAAGAGGGCTCTGGCTCTCGCTATGGCTGTCAGGATTCCGTCACCACCACATGCCTCAAAACCTCTTCCTTCTCCTCCTCCTCATCCTCCTCCAGAACTGCTCGATCTGAACGCCACTCCCCTCTCTCTCTTCCCAGATCCTGTCCGAGCGGGTCAGCTTTTCCCCGAATCCTGGTGTCCGATTGAACGTGCAGGATCTGAAAAGGTTTGCCTTCCTCGACGTTGTCGCCCCACTCCTGTCCCCTTCTCCGCCTTCCCCCGCTCCTCCTGCTTCTCTCGCTCCTCCTACTCCTGCTCCTGCTGTTCCTCCTCCTCCTCCACCTCCTTCCGCTCCTCACGCTCCTCCTGCTCTTCCTCTTCCACCTCCTCCGCCGCCTCCTGCTCCTCCTCATCCTCCAATGTGCATAGCGCCCGTCTTCTGGCTGCGCATAACAAGATGGGATCCTTTGCGGGGTTCCAGGCCCTGTGTGACACGCGTCGGCGGAGAAAGAACACATTCAAGGCATGGGCGGGGATGGGTGGGAGGGAAAGGGTGTCACACATGGCGAAGGCACGCATGGCTCGCCCTCTCCCCTGTCCTCTCTTTTACTGTAGAGGCCTCACCGATGGGGTCCCAGCAGATAGGTCGGAGGATCGCGCCGCATCGCCGATACATCGCCGATGCATGGGCGATGCATCGGCGACGTCGGCGGTGCATCAGCGACATCAGCGAGGAGAAAATCAGGCTCAGCATCGAGCCGCATCGCCGATGCATCGACGATGCGGCGTTATCCTCCGACCCCACCTACTCGGAGCCCATCTGGGAGGCCTAGATCATCATCCTCATCCTCACCATCCTCCGCATCCTCCTCCCTCTTTCCTCCTCCCTCCTCCCTCCTCCTCCTTAACGGATCATCGGAATCGATGCGGATGGAGCCAGCCGACAACTCGGTGGCGACGAGAAGGGCGGATAGCCCAGGGGCGGGCATTACACGTATTCGCCAAGGAGCCTTGTCGAAGACATAGATCATCGGCGCCGCTCGGTACAGCTCTCCCCCGGGCTATTCGCCCCTATCGTCGCCTCTGAACAACGTCGGATCGATCGGGTCGCTGAAGGGACCCGGCGGGCCAGTGGAGGTCGCTCTGGCTGGCCTGGGGAGGCCCCTACCGCTTGCCCCGCCGCCGCCGCGTCTCCGAGCTGGTTATCTTCGGCTGTGGATCGATCCAGGGTCGCTCGGTTTGTTGGAGCGCGTTTCTTTATTTTCGGCGATCATGGGCATTCTAAGAGGGGCGGGGGGAGGGGGGGTGGGTGTAATGTAACGCCTCCCCCCCGCCGTGTGCCTGATGCGCACGGCGGCAGTGCCCGGAGCGCACTGGGGGGGGGAGGGGCGTTACGTTATGGGGGGGAGAGAGGGGGGGTCGTGGGCTATAAT